GCCAAATTCAAAACCAGGAACACAAATTAAGCAAAGAACACACCAATGGGCATTAAAACCACACTTCATCAAGAGTAAATAGAGTTTATATAGGTACAGAAAGCTTACTACTGGATGGTATCACTTTCCTGCATGACAATGAGCATGAAAATAACTAATAATTGGATGTATCAGAGTCACCTGCTACGCATGCTTAACTAAACGCCCTAGCCTGATCTTTAAAGCTGAGTGCAGTATATAGCGAAGCCACCACTTACTAATTAGTCCACTATGCTTAGGCTACGCTCACACGTTATACCAATGTGTTTAAACCTGTTTTCGTTAAGTGCAGCAGGAAACACCTTCAGGGCAAGCGACACTAAGCTAAATTGACGCAATAGTTTATACCTACCTTATATATGAATATGTTTGAATTACTAGAAACTTTTGCATAAAATCGTATCTCTTCTCTGGACATAACCTTTCAGTTTTAGCCTGTCTTTAGTATAAAAATGTGCTGTTTAACCGTATGCCATACCAAATTTATTGTTACTACCCAGCTTGCTATTGCTGTTGTGGCATAGCAGGAAAATGTTCATTGTCTTTGCATGCACAAGAAAAATAAAGAATTTAAAAAGAAAAAGAACTGACGCTGGAATGGCACCATTCAAATTGGCATACAAGTATGATGCAGGCTACTAGTGTCATTAAAAGTAGTGCAGAGCTCAGTATCAAAATTACAGTAATAATGATGCGGACTAGGTGAATCCTGTGTCAATGTAAGAAAGCTGCAAGGCCACAGCCTGGTTACCATACATGCCACAGAGGATGCCACAGAGGCGACGTACTTTGACAGTCTGACAATAGACTCATGTCTATGCTTGTTCCAATCAGCCACTAATCTTTACAATTGCTCTTGGTATAGTTATTGACTCATGGATTTTTCTATGTTCCATAATTTCACTGTTTTTTTACGGGTAACTAGCAGCTGCCATCGACCCCTTAATGACAGAGGCAAATGTACGAGTTCTGACCAAAACAAAAATAAAACAACCTGGAATTTGAGCTATATGTCTGTTCAGCCACAATTCACCTCTTCCATATTAAGTACACCCGCACTTATTACATATAATTTTGTTCAGGAGAAACAGGGCTTTTAATTTCACATCAAATATTATAATTTATATGAATTATTAATATGGAACATAATGTAATATGAATAAGATTTAAATAAGTGAAATTGAGAAATGTTATTTATCAAGTTCTGCATCAAATTTTAATTGTAGATGTCATAATACTGTTAGCTTTTACTGCAATAAAATACACATTTGTATGCTGTGATGTCCCACAAGTACAACAATAACTCCCATGTACAGGTTTTATGGTAATTTGGGAAGTTACATGGCCAAATTAAGAGCATGTCTATTTCAGTTTTTACACAGTGAAATTTGCCAGATTGGTTTGCTGGGCCTATGTTGCCTTTGAGACCATATGGCAGCCCAGGAACAAAATTCACCCCCATCATGACATACCATTTGTAAAAGTAGACAACCCAGGGTATTCAAAATGGGGTATGTCCAGTCTTTTTTAGTAGCCACTTGGTCACAAACCATTGCCAAATTTAGTGTTCATATTTTTCTCTTTGCATTTTTCACACAAAAAAAAATGCTCTTTCACTGATTATATCCATTCCACTGCTCAAAACACTCATATTTGTGTTCATCAATGTCTTACGAGTACAACAGTACACCCCATATATAGGTCTTATTTGGTTTTGAAACTTACAGGGTCAAATAAAGGGATTACAAATTACATTAGCTGGACTTTCTACCAGGGTTGTCAATATAAAATTAGCACAATCACATAATTATGTAAAATAAACAGAAATACACATGTAGAATGCAATTATGAATATTACTGCAATAAAATATTATTCATATATATAAAATGGGAGTAGAGCCTAGGAATGTCCTTAGATGTAAGCAATATGACATGAGAGGAATGGACAATGTAGTATTTTGTGTATAATGGGCTTTAGGAGAAGAGATGCCCTTACAACTTCATGAACTATCCATTAACCCTGCTTCTATTGTGTCTCCTTTTTTATGTCTATTAGTCACTTCTTAATTGATCTTTGCATAAAATCAACATTTAGTGTCTGTCCCTTAACCATCAGTCATCCCTTTTCCCATCAGTCATCTCTGTTTGTCGTACCATGAATTGAACTCCAAATAACCAAACAAATATACTTGCTCAACCATAGTCTGTTTCTTTTGTTTTGTGAAATATCTATATGACACTTCTGAGTTATGGAATTCAGAGGCCCCCTTGTTAACCCAAAATGAATGAATATTGTGCATTAGCATAATTTGAGGTGATAACAAATTTTAAGATTCTGAAAAATGAATATTTGATATGGTTTTTTCTTATATTAATGGTGTCATTATAGCATTCATTTTAAATGTTGTCCTATTGAGTATGAAGAGATATGTAACATATTTAAAGAAATAATGATTTGACCTTTTTCGTAAAAAGTTTGAAAAATAATATTTTATTTTTCTTGGAATTTTTATTTTGTAAATGTTATCTTATATATTTAACTTGGAATTGATAGTTAAATTAAATATAACAGAACATTAAAATACAATGGCTTCTGTATGACTGGCTTGAAGAAGGGAAGGTACCCGTGGAAGTCTGTGGCTCCTGGCACAATGACTGCTTGCAGATTGGGTTGGCACACCATATGTAGGTGTAGAGGGCTTAAAATAAAAAATAAAAAAAAAATAAAAAAAAAAAATATATATATATATATATATATATACATTGTGTGATGGTGCCCTTATACTATACATAATATAATGCTAAAACAAATATGAATACAGTTAAACAGTCCAGACTGTAGATTGCACCTAAAAGACAATAGTCACCACAATAGTAATCATTTCATCAAGTTTTGAAAGGAAATTAACTTGTTATTAAATTGGGCATTTAGTAAAAAAAAAAAAAGTGAGATAAAAAATACTGTTTGACGGTGTTTGAAATTTGTCAGTTTGTTTATTTGGTCTTCCCTGTTTCTCTGCAGGGAGTGAGGCAGAGAAGATCACATAGACTATCAGTTTTCAATCACTGTCTGACCCAAGGTGCATATATATGGCGGAAGGATACTAAAGTTAGGGATGAGTTTTTATTGTCATTGTACTTCATTTAAAACAATGTACAGTATTAAAGGACCACTCTAGGCACCCAGACCACTTCAGCTTAATGAAGTGGTCTGGGTGCCAGGTCCAGCTAGGGTTAACACATTTTTTCATAAACATAGCAGTTTCAGAGAAACTGCTATGTTTATGAATGGGTTAAGCCTTCCCCCTAATCCTCTAGTGGCTGTCTCATTGACAGCCACAAGAGGCGCTTGCGTGCTTCTCACTGTGATTTTCACAGTGAGAGCACGCAAGCGTCCATAGGAAAGCATTATGAATGCTTTCCTATGTGACCGGCTGAATGCATGCACAGCTCTTGCCGCGCGTGCGCATTCAGCCGACGGGGAGGAGAGAAGGAGGATCAGAGGAGGAGAGCTCTCCGCCCAGCGCTGGAAAAAGGTAAGTTTAACCCCTTTTCCCCTTTCCAGAGCCAGACGGGAGGGGGTCCCTGAGGGTGGGGGCACCCTCAGGGCACTATAGTGCCAGGAAAACAAGTATGTTTTCCTGGCACTATAGTGGTCCTTTAACTTTCAAAACTTGATGACAGGGATTATTCTATTAAGAAACAGGTTTTTTTAAGTTAACAAATGTCCCTTTAAAGACTACAGTCTACTTCTAGGTAAGTCATGGAGCGATTATCAGTTTTACATGGTCTGCTGATGTACAAGCTCCCAGTACCATGATGCTACCTCTATCAAGATCCACCATGGGGGTGGTGTACTGGTGACTTTAAACTCAACATTTTTAACCCTACTGTCGAAAAATGCACTTTTGTTCTCAGCAGGCAAATAACTTTTTTTTCTACATATTTACTGAGTCTCTCACATGCATTCTGGAACTCTTCAAAATGGATGTTTATGATGTTTTTATTGACATATGTCCATGAAGCCCAGTTTTGTGCAGTGCCATCGTTAAAGCTGTCACTTGATGTTGTTTCAGTTGCTAATCTCTCCAGCTCTTTTCAGCATTACCATTAGACTTTTAGTTGCATCTCTGATAAATGATCTCTTTATTTATTGTGTGCGGCCTTCTCTAGGTAGAATCGTGATTTTGTCATACTTTTCTTGATGGATGTTCTGATTGTGTTCAGATTTATACTTTCCTCAATTATTTTGTTGCTCAGTCTTGATTTCCTGATTGGACCTCTTGACCTTTATACCAGACTTGTTTTAGAAACATAGAAACATAGAATGTGACGGCAGATAAGAACCATTCGGCCCATCTAGTCTGCCCAATTTTCTAAATACTTTCATTAGTCCCTAGCCTTATCTTATTGTTAGGATAGCCTTATGCCTATCCCACGCATGCTTAAACTCCTTTACTGTGTTAACCTCTATCACTTCAGCTGGAAGGCTATTCCATGCATCCACTACCCTCTCAGTAAAGTAATACTTCCTGATATTATTTTTAAACCTTTGTCCCTCTAATTTTTGTCCTCTTGTTGTGGTAGTTTTTCTTCTTTTAAATATTGTCTCCTCCTTTACAGTGTTGATGTCCTTTATATATTTAAATGTTTCTATCATATCCCCCCTGTCTCGTCTTTCCTCCAAGCTATACATGTTAAGATCCTTTAACCTTTCCTGGTAAGTTTTATCCCGCAATCTGTGAACCAGTTTAGTAGCCATTCTCTGAACCCTCTCTAAGGTATCAATATCCTTCTGAAGATACGGTCTCCAGTACTGTGTACAATACTCCAAGTGAGGTCTCACCAGGGTTCTGTACAATGGCATGACCACTTCCCTCTTTCTACTGCTAATACCTCTCCCTATACAACCAAGCATTCTGTTAGCATTTCCTGCTGCTCTATTACATTGTCTGCCTACCTTTAAGTCATCAGAAATAATCACCCCTAAATCCCTTTCCTCAGATGTTGAGGTTAGGACTCTATCAAATATTCTGTACTCTGCCCTTGGGTTTTTACGTCCAAGATGCATTATCTTGCACTTATCCACATTAAATGTCAGTTGCCACAATTCAGACCATTTTTCTAGTTTACCTAAATCATTTGCCATTTGGCTTATCCCTCCTGGAACATCAACCCTGTTACATATCTTAGTATCATCAGCAAAAAGACATACCTTACCATCAAGACCTTCTGCAATATCACTAATAAAAAATATATTATATTATATATAAGAGAATGGGTCCAAGTACAGGTCCACTGGTGACAAGTCCAAGCTTCGAATATATTCCATTAACTACAACCCTCTGTTGCCTGTCACTCAGCCACTGCCTTACCCATTCAACAATATTGGAATCCAAACTTAAATATTGCAGTTTATTGATAAGTCTTCTATGTGCAACAGTGTCAGAAGATAATGCCTGGTATCTTGATGCTGTTGATTTGCTTTAAAAAAAAAAAATAGGGACATCCAGAGACAGGTGTACTTATTATGAGGTCATGAGACATTTTAACCCCTTCAGGACGAAGTCAATAGTACACGTTCTGATCAAAACAAAGTGTAAATAAAAACTGGAATTTGTGCTATATGTCTGTTCAACCGTAATTCACCTCTTTCATATTAAATGCACCCACACTTATTATATATATATTTTTGGGGGGAGAAACTGGGCTTTAATTTCTCATGAACTATTCATATTTTAAATGTAATTTATTATGAATAAAATAAAAAAAACAGTGAGAAATTAAGATTTTTGTAAATAAAAATGTAGTTCTGCCTGACATTTTAGCTGTAAATGTCATAATACTGTTAGCTTTAACTGCAAAAATATTGGATTCAGCAAAGTCTCACGAGTACAACAGTACCCCTTAACAATTTTTACAGTGTTTTGGGAAGTTACAGGGTCAAATAGAGCACATTCCATTTTTCAGTTTTTTCACATTGAAATTTGCCAGATTAGTAATGTTACCTTTGAGACTGTGTGGTGGCCCAGGAATGAAAATTACCCCCATGACGGCATACCATTTGCAAAAGTAGACAACCCAAGGTATTGCAAGTGGGGAATGTCCAGTCTTTTTTAGTAGCCACTTAGTCACAAACACTAGCCAAAGTTAGCCTTCATATTTGCTTTCATATTTGTTTTTGTGGGAAAAAAGCAAAAAACAAATATTTGGCCAGTGTTTGTGACTAAGTGGCTACTAAAAATGACTGGACATACCCCATTTGCAATACCTTGGGTTGTCTACTTTTGCAAATGGTATGCCATCATGGGGGTAATTCTCATTCCTGGGCTACCTTACGGTCTCAAAGGCAACATAACCAATCTGGCAAATGTCAATGTGAAAAAAATTAAAAGCAAGCCTTATACTTTCCAAAACACCATAAAACCCTGTACATGGGGGGTACTGTTATACTTGGGAGACTTCACTGAACACAAACATAAGTGTTTCAAAACAGTAAAACATATTACAACAATAATATTGTCAGTAAAAGTGCCATTCATGTGTAAAAAATGCAAAAAAAAGTCACTTTTACTAGAAATATCACCTTTGTAATACAAGTAACCATTTTAAAACACTAATATTTGTGTTCAGCGAAGTCTCCTGAGTAAAACAGTACCTCCCCATGTACAGGTTTTATGGTGTCTTGGAAAGCTACAGGGTTAAATATAGTGCTTGCGAATTAATTTCTCTGCACTTTCTGCCTAGGTTGTCAGGCACGTCAATCAAATTTTTATTACTTAAATCACATAATTATGTTAAAAGATTACTTAAATATACACATAGAATTTTAATATATATACATATATATGTATTTAAATTCTAAGTGTATACTTATGTACAGGGCCGGACTGGGAGAAAAATTCGGCCCGGGCATTTTTTTTAACACAGCGGCCCACTAAAAAGGGGTGGGGCAGAGGAGGTGTGTTTTGTCATCACCAATGACAAACACGCCTCCTCTCAAAGTGAGCATGTTGGTTCAATGCTCTTCCAGGGCAGACCATGCGCAGAGCTCTGCTGAAGAGCTCTAGCATGAGAAAAAAGTCCTGTATTTGTTCTGCACAGTGCAAGCAAATTTAATAACATGCTTGCACTGTGTTTCCTTGCAACTTGTCTCTGGTGTCTCTATAAATGGATACCAGGAGACAAAAGGCCAGGAAAGAGTATTGTGCATGTGTTTGGAGCCTGCTTGTGGTATTGCATGTGTGTAGAGTGAGCTGGTCGTGGTGTGGTATTGTGTAATAAGGTCGGTTTTAGTCGTGTTGTGTTTGTGGTGTAATGTGATGCATATGTGGCTCAGGGACCCCCTCCCGCCCGGCTCTGGAAAGGGGTTAAAACTTACCTTTTTCCAGCGCCGGGCGGGGAGCTCTCCTCCTCCGATCCGCCTGTCGGCTGAATGCGCACGCGTGGCAAGAGCTGCGCGCGCATTCAGCCAGTCGCATAGGAAAGCATTTATAATGCTTTCCTATGGACGCTTGCGTGCTCTCACTGTGATTTTCACAGTGAAAAGCACGGAAGCGCCTCTAGCGGCTGTCAATGAGACAGCTGCTAGAAGGCTTTGGGGGAAGGCTTAACCCATTGATAAACTGCTATGTTTATAAAACAATGGGTTAACCCTAGAAGGACCTGGCACCAAGAGCACTTCATTAAGCAGAAGTGGTCTGGGTGGCTAGAGTGGTCCTTTAAGAGTGTAGTGTGTGTGTGTGTGTGTGTATATATATATGTATATATATATATATATATATATATATATATATATTTGGAAGTATTGTGAATGTGTGTGGTGCAGTGTGTTGGGGGGGTTCTGTGTGTATGTGAGGGGTGCAGTATGTGTGTGTGTAAGGGTGCGGTGTGTGTGTGAGGGGTGCGGTATGTGTAAGAGTGCCGTGTGAGAGTGCCGTGTGTGAGTGATGGGTGTGAGAGTGCCGTGTGTGAGAGTGCTGTGTGAGAGTGCTGTGTGAGAGTGCTGTGTGAGATGTGTGTGAGAGAGTGCTCTGTGAGAGTGCTGTGAGTGTGATGGGTGTGAGAGTGCTGTGAGAGAGTGCTGTGTGTGTGTGAGAGTGCTCTGTGAGAGTGCTGTGAGTGTGATGGTGTGAGTGCTGTGTGAGAGAGTGCTGTGTGAGAGTGCTGTGTGTGATGGGTGTGAGAGTGCTGGGTGTGAGAGTGCCGTGTGAGAGAGTGCTGTGTGTGTGAGAGTGCTGTGAGTGTGATGGGTGTGAGAGTGCTGTGTGAGAGAGTGCTGTGTGTGATGGGTGTGAGAGTGCTGTGTGTGATGGGTGTGAGAGTGCAGGGTGTGAGAGTGCTGTGTGTGATGGGTGTGACAGTGCTGTGTGTGATGGGTGTGAGAGTGCTGTATAAATGTTATTGTGTGTGTGTGTAGGGGGGGGTAAATAAAATTTAAAAAAAAACAAAACAAAAAAACAGTAATTATTCCCCCCCCCTCCCTTCTTACCTTTAGCCTGGGAGGGGGGGTCCGGCACGCTGGCAGGCGGGGTGGAGCTGTTCCCTGGTGGTCCTCGTGGGTGAGTGAACTCTAGCCAGCATAGCCTGTGAGGCTAGAGTTCACTCTCGCGAGATCCGGTCGTTGCCATGGCAACGCGCCGGATCTCGCGAGAGGAACCCGGCGGAGCTGCAAATTAGAGCTCCGCCGGGTCCTCTCTCCAGCCTGGCTGGCTGGCTGTCTCCCTCCCTCTCTCCCCGCCGGCGGCCGCATGTGGGACTGTCAGGGAGATTTTTGATCTCCCCACCGGCCCGTCGTGGAAAACAGCGGGGCCGGCGCTAGGAGAGTGCCGGCCCTGCATAGACCGGCAGAGGAGATCCTGGGACCTCCCCTGCCGGCCTCGGCCCCACGGACACCGCGGCCCACCGGGCATTTGCCCGGTGTGCCCGATGGCCAGTCCGGGCCTGCTTATGTAGTTATTTATGTAATTATATATAATTATCTATATATAAATATTTGCGGTTATTTGTATTTTACATATAGATAGATAGATATATATAGAATGTCATTCTAAGTGTATTTTGTTACATATATATATATATATATATATATATATATATATATATATTAATAACAAAATACAGTTAGAATGAAATTACATATGTATAAATAATTTTTAATTTTTTAAAAATACATTTTATTTTAATATTTTATTTATTATAAGCACAATACAAAGGAAGTTATGAGTTATGAAAAAGAAAGCTCAGATATTTCAGCTGGCACTGGCAGACATAAAGCTTTTATAGCTTTTATTTCTATTTCCTGTCTTGATTTCAACATGATTTTCAATTCCAACAGTATTCTAAATGCTCACTTTCAAAGGTATTCAATATTTTCATTCAGAGAAGTAATTTCTTTGGAAAGCAACTCTGAGTGATATCTTTTTCATTTTCTATGATGCTCTTATAAAGGCAATTTCTGCAGCATGGAATGGAGAAAGTCTAAAATGGCATATATCTTGGATTCTTGGTTTTATGTGCCTATCAGTTGCTCAGCGTGAGAGCTTATAAAACAGCATGAATCAATTCAAAAAAATCTTTTGGCTCTGCTAAGGTAACTGTGTGAGTGCTTTTATAACTTTGTAGGACATTGCCTGAAGGCATTGGTCCCCAACTAAGGCTGTATTATATATCCAGTCTCTTCATTGATACACAGGAAAAAATCTAAATCATAGTGATCACTTGAAATTGAGTTTATTCTACTAAAATTGTTCTCTGAAATAAAAGGGAAAGTTTAGGTAAAAAGGAGAAATGATAAATTCATTCATTGGGTACATCTCTACAGATGACAAGGTAATCCTGATGGTAGACCTGATTTATTCCAACAGAGAAATATTTAGTGTCAGATATGGTTAAAGTGAGGCAATGCCTCCACAATAGCTTCAAAATATCCAGTCTTTCTATTCAAGCTCCATAGCATTTAATTGAATGAGACAATGCTACTGTTTTCATGGATATATTACATATTGGGAGCTAAAGAAGAAGGAATATATATATATATATATATATATATATATATATATATATATATATATATATATATATATATATATATCTTTCTGTTTGAATTAATGCAATTGTCTTTTTGTGACAGAAAATAGTTACAGACTTGCAGTATGTGTGTTGAATTATTTTCTGA